GTGTCGTCCCCCCCCCCCCGCAACCCCACCCCCCGCTCATGTTTGACATTTGTACGTGCCTTTTCCTAATGAACTCCTAGGAAGTATTTGCATATATTTTGAGAGGGAGGAATTTTGGTTTTTCTCACCCTAGGAAAAAGAAGGGACGATCCTAGACAGGAACAGAATTTCAGAGCTGTTTAGGACTTGAGATTTATCCAGCCCAACCCCTACATTTTATGTACGAGGAAACAGGCTCGAGTGAAGCAACTGGACTTTCCCAAGGTCACAGGCTAGTTAAGCGCGAGGACGGAAGCGCGTACTCTCGCCCTGGCTCGGGGCCCAGGCACTCTCTCTCCACCCGCGGCCTCAAGAATGCGCCTTCCACGCTAGTGTTTATCTGGCCGCCACGCCCGCACCAGAAACCCGGGATCAGGGGGTAGAATCTGACACCATCTTCAGCGGCAGCCAAGCCTGCTCCAGCCGTCCCTACGGGCGGGCAGGTCGCCGTCCCCAACCCTGCCCTCAGCCAACCTCTAGGTCCCTGGGTGGGGGCAAGGCGGGGCGAAGGCTGCGCTGTGAGTCCCGGTACCACGACCCTAGGCAAAGTCCCCAGGGTCCCGCCCCTTCCCTCCCCGCCGCAGCCCCGCACGTGCTGCGCCTCGTGCACCGCCCAGGGCCCCGCCCCCAGCCCTCCATTGGCTGCTCCGCGCCTTCCTCCTCTTTTCCCCTCCCTCCCCTCGCGGCGGGACTCGGCTGCAGCTCCACGTGACCCGCGGGGCGGGGCGCCGCGAGGAGGAGGGAAACGGCCGCGAGGACCCCAGGGGTCTCTCTGATAGGCTACCCCCGCCGGCATGGCCGCTGCCAGCCCCGCCTCCTCTGGGTGGCGCGTCCGGAAGGTGGCGAGACTGGGATGCGAGGGGAGAGCGGTTACAGTGGTCCAAGAGAAGGGCAGGGGTTACGGCGAAGGCGAAAGCGCGGGTTGAGGGGCAGGGGCTGTCGCCGGATAGGGCCCCCCAGACCCCGGCCCGGGCAGGCGCCAATCAGGTGACAGCGAGGAGGACGGGGCGGGGCCTGCGGCCCTGCTTCTCACCTGGCCCCGCACGTGTGGCGTTTACGCAGGGGCGGCCTAGCCAATCATAATCCGGAAGGCTGCGCCTGTCCCCGCCCTCTCTCGCGGGATGGGCCAATCCAAGGCCGCCATCCGGGGAAGCTGGCCTGGCCTTTTGAAAAATTAATAAGCCAGAGCCTGTTCGCCCGCGGGGTAGGGATGGATGGAGGGAGGCGGGGGGTGGGGGCGCTGCTGCGCGCCTGCGCAGTAGCTGCCAGTGTCGGCAGCTGCGGCGGGTCGCACGGCTCCGTCCCATCTCGGGGGGCGGGCGGGCAGGCAGGCGGGCGGGGGAGGCAAGGCGAGGCGAGGCGCGCGCGAGCTGAGCGCGGGGCACGATGTCCGACGCGGGCGGCGGAAAGAAGCCGCCTGTAGAGCCGCAGGCGGGGCCTGGCCCGGGGCCGGGGCGCGCAGCCGGGGAAAGGGGCCTGCCGGGCTCCTTCCCTCTGGTCCTCAAGAAGCTGATGGAGAACCCCCCACGCGAGACGCGCCTCGGTGAGGGGAGGCGGCGGGGGGTGGGGTAGGGTGGGGTGGGGGTGGGGGTCCGCGCGCTTTTGGGGGCGGGGTTTCTGCAAGGGCGGGGCCTTGTGAGGGCGGGGCTGGGGAGGTCGGAGGTCTAGGTGATGTGGTCCAGCCTGGGGGATGGGGCCGGGAAGGATTGGGGACGGGAGGGCGAGGCGAAAGCGGGTAGGAAGGGGTAGCGGATGAGCTGAGAGGCGGAGTCACATGGGGGTTGGTGGGGAAGGGTGGGGGAGGGAGGCAGTCGGGTGGGGGTCGCGGGGAGGAGGTTCATCGGGGAGGGTCCGGAGCACGCGCAACGTGAAGGGGTTATCGAGGAGGCTGATGGGGGTCGCAGCAGCTACTTCAGTGACGCTCCAGGGCTCCTGCCCTGGGGACCGCTGCATCAGAATCACTTGGGATGCTTGTTTAAAATGCCCATTTCTGGGCCCCACCCTTCACCCTTCACTGGATCTGCGGCTTCAGAGACAGGACTCTGCATTTAAGGGGCACCACCCCACTTCCGTGATTCCACAGTCCGCTAAAGTTTGAGATGCCCTGATACACCGTAGCGAACTGCTTTCGTTTATGGCCGTCCTCCTCCAGGACCTGCCTTCTTGCCTGCGTGTGAGTATCCCCAGGTTCTGGGTCCTCACTGGAGATTTCTTGGAAGTGAGTTTCAGGGCTGCTGCCGAGGTGGAGAGGGGTGTCAGAAGAGCCGGGAGGTGCCTTCTGAGGGGAAGGTTTGGAAGAAGGTAGAATGAGGGTCAGAAAGAGGCCATCGAGGCCCTTTACCTGGTTGGTTGGGGCTGACCCTAGACTTTGAGGCCACAGGGCTGGTCTTTGTCCTGTTTGCTGTTATGTGTGCTCGGTCAAGTCACCGCTCTTTGGAATCACATGGACTGTAGCCTACCAGGCTCCTCTGTCCATGGGATTTTTCCAGGCAAGAATACTGGAGTGGGTTGCCATTTCCTCCTCCAGGGGATCTTCTCAACACAGGGATCAGACCAGGTCTCCAGTGTCTCCTGCACTGGCAGGCAGATTCTTACCATTGGGCCACCTGGGAAGCCCTTGTCTTGTTTCCTAGGCCACAGAGGTCCCTGGGGCTTTTGTGGAAAGCAAGTTTGGCCTTGTTTTTGGTCTGAGAGCATGGGGTTCAGGGAGCCGCAGGAATACCACCTATAGTGGAGTTTCAGGTGCACTGAGGTATGCTTTCAATCTTCTGAGATTTGATTTTCCAAGAACCATTGGTGTCGTTCAGGGATTTGGGAAGGCATGGGCCTTCTGTGAATTACCACTCTTGGGGAATTCATTTTCTTTTTAAAAATGCCATTTCTCTTCCTTTCTTGAGTGTGTTCTGAGACTCCCATCCCTATGGCTGTCATGGTCTGGTTATAAATAGCTTCAGCACATTAGGTGAGGCCAGGCTATCTTCTTCCACTTGAGGACCTCATATGCACAGACCCTTTTGTTTATTTTTAAGGCAATGCTTTGTTCCAAATCTGGGGCTGAGGCAAGCTGCCCCAGGACAGGTGTGCACATCTGTCAGGTTCTGTCAGATTACCAAATAATAACCATCCATAATAATAGTTCCACCTTACATTTGCAGAATTCTTCCAGAGCACCTTGACATAATCTTATTTCGTCTTCTGCAGCTGTCCTATAGGGTATTACCCCACTTCTCCGATGAAAAAAGCAGAGGCTCAGAGCGGTGAGGATGTTTCCTTAAGGTCACATCACCAGTCCTTACACTGTATCACTGGTAAACCACTGACGAACATCTCCTACAATTAAAATTTCATCTTATAAAAACACTGATTTAGCAGTGTGCTTAATTGCTTAGGCCAGACAAACCCTGGAACTTGGTACTAGTCCTCCAGTATGGCTGTCTTTCTGTCTCCTACCTTCTGCCTCCTTTAATCCCCATGACCCCCACCCAACAGGAATCTCAGTCATTTCTGAACAGAATGTAGAGTCAGTGTCTCAGGGAAGGAGAACAGGGAAGCCATCTGGCCCACCCAGCACACCAAAGCTTGGCTTTCTTACTTCCCGTTTGGTTTTAAACCAAAGCCTGGTACAGAAGGCAGTTGCAAGAATTCAGGTTACTTTGTATTAGTAGCCATGACCAAATTCTGTTTGTCAATACCTCCACCTTCTTAACTCACTGGGTGTGTCCATTTTTATTGAACCAACAGGCTGCTTTTTGGCTGTCTGAGGTCTAGGAGTTCATGCATGACTGGTTTACTTCCAACATAATGGTATTTGATTTCTGTTTCATTTCAGAAACCAGAGTTCAAAGTTGTCGCCGTCAATTTGAAAACCCATTATGAGCTTGTCATGATCTTATCTCCCACTTCCCTCATTTGCCTCCCTGTCACTCTGATTTTCTTCCAACCTTGTCACATTTTTCTTTTTTTTCCTCAATTTTCCCTTTCTTGGATATCCATCCACATGTATAACTTTCGGGCTGAGACAGTTAGGTGGGTTCATGTCCCCACTGATTGACGAGTTTTGCTTTGAATGGGAGCATGCTTGCTTTCTTCTACAGCTCCATGTGTCTCTTTCTTCCCAGAAAACCTGCCTTAAGTCTTCTCTGCTCAATGAGGGATAAGCAAATGGTCTCTGGAAATGGTTGCTCTGAAAAAGGTCCTGAGAAGACAGCTCCAGGCCCTCTCTATTTACAAATCCAGCCTTCTTCATTCAGTATACTCATCTTCCTGGGGTCTGCTGTCTTGCCTGCTCCTGTATTGGTCCCCACAATGTAGAAATGAATCAAACACAATCCCTGCACAAGCTCACTGTAATAATGAATGCCTGGGGTGTGCCAGGAGCTCTACAAGGCACTTTCAGATGTTACCTCTAGTCCCCTCTAGAAGAGGGGAGCTTTATCCTTACTTACAGTGAAGGACACTGAAGCTGGGAGAGGTTAAATGACATTGCTAAGGTCACACATCACTGCAGTGGGTGGCAGGCAGGGTGGGGACAGGACAGAAGAAAAAGCAAGTGCTTGGCCTGAAGAGTCAGCCCTTTCCTGAGGTAGCAGGAAGGGCCAGAAACCCTGTTCCCCACCCCCCAACCCCCACTGGTAGCCTCTCTCCAGCAGATGCTAATCCTACAGCCCATTCTGAATTAACCCTGGGACTACCTCAGGCCTCAGAGCTAATGGCGAGCATCCTAGGAAGCCCAGGCATGGATGTGCAGCACATGAGGGTGTGCTGCCATCTCTAAAGGAGACCAGTGGTCCTGGTTCAAGTACCAGGTTATAACTGGAGAATAGTGTGGGCTCTTGTAAATGCATGCATGGATGGATCAAGACTCCGAGAGAGGTGGCTCTGCCCTGCGAGACTCACCACGTGCCTCCTGGGGTTGAGTTACTCTCTCAAAAGATGTCTCACCACAGGTTTTGTGTCTGCAGATAAGGAAAAGGGGAAGGAAAAGCTGGAGGAAGACGAGGCCACAGCAGCCAGCACCATGGCCGTCTCAGCCTCCCTCATGCCGCCCATCTGGGACAAAACCATCCCGTACGATGGCGAGTCTTTCCACCTGGAGTACATGGACCTGGATGAGTTCCTGCTGGAGAATGGCATCCCCGCCAGCCCCACCCACCTGGTGCAGAACCTGCTGCTGCCGGTGGCTGAGCTAGAAGGGAAGGAGTCAGCCAGCTCCTCCACGGCCTCCCCACCATCCTCCTCCACCGCTGTCTTTCAGCCCTCGGAAACCGTGTCCAGCACAGGTTGGTGATGAACCTTCGGGCAGGGCCACCTGCCTCATCCAAGGAGATCCACTTCCCAAGGGGCTGCGTGGTCCCATTGGACCTACTGTGAGCAGAAGCCCTCTGCTCCCCCACCTTTCAGCACAGTCCCCCAAGGCTGGAGATAAAAATAGCCATCCCCTCAGCGGCAGCCAGAGCCTTCCTGTCGGTTGATTGCTGCAGATGGTCAGCCCAGTGGAGTGAGCAATCCCAGTCGGAGGCTTCGCAGGATAGCAGTGCCATCCTGCCTTTCCACAGTACTGCTCTCTACTGCCATGTGCACTTTGCCTCCGATTCATAGGAAGCTCAAGCTATAATAATAACAATAGCAGACATTTATTTAACATGTATTCTGTGCCAGGCACTAACACACAATCCTCACAAAACCTTCTTACGAGATTGATACTTTTATTCCCGTTTTATTTATTTAGCTGCACTGGGTCTTGGTTGTGGCATGTGAACTCTTAATTGCATGTGGGATCTAGTTCCCTGACCAGGGATCAAATCCAGGCATTGGCAGTGTAGAGTCTTAGCCACTGGACCACCAGGGAAGTCCCCTGTTATCCCCATTTTATAGGTTAGGAAACTCAGAAGTTAGGTCGCTTGCCCAGGGTAACACAGCTGATGGGAAGTGGAAGCAGCACTTGAACCCAGGATGTCTGACTTTTTAGCCAGGTATTTCTCAGGCACTGCCACGAAGAAGGCATTTTCACTGCCAGGACCAATACCATCTTTGGGATTCCTGCTTTATCTTCTTGTCCTTTTTCTGTTTTACCTCCAGTTGGTTGGTTTTCAGGCCCCTGGGTCGTGAACCCATCAGAGGAGGCATGGTTCCTGTTTCAGGGGCTTTGCGAAGCTTTCCACAGACTCAGTTCAAGGCGTATAAGCTGATGTCTCCTGGGAAAGACCCCAGGAGCTGGTGTGGCACCCAGGGAACCTGCACCCAAGGAATTCGCATGCTCTATTTTTTTTTCTTTTTATTGTAGAAAAATGTTCAAATATGAAAGTGAAGGGCTGCTATAAAGAACCTCCAGTAACCATCACTCTGCTTCCGTAGTGATTAGCTCATAACCAGTCTTGTTTTCTATAACCTCCTGCATTCCCTTAACCTGATTATTTTCAATCAAATGTATATGTAAAGTATAAGGATTTTTTTAAGAAACGGAACAGAAATACCAGTTTTACACCTGAAATTGACAGTAAATCCACCAGCATTCAAATTTCCAAAAAGTTGTCTCATAAATGTTACTGTTTTACAGTTTGCTTGAATCAGGAGCCAAATGAGACCCACACATTTCAGTTAGTTATGTGTCTTAAATCTCTTGTAGTCTGTGGGGTCTTCCTTCGTTTTTATTTCTCTGCAGTTTGTTTGTTAAGGAAGCTGAATTGTTTGACCTATAGAGTTTCACACACGCTGGATTTTCTGGTTATATCCCTCTATTGCCTTTTAACACGCTCCTCTGTCCCTCATTTCTTTGCTGTAAATGGTCCAGCTTCAGAGGCTTCAGCTGATTCCAGCCGAATTCTTGTTGGAAGGCAGCTCATTTTGGTGCTGGTCAGGCTGTCCTGAAAGGCAGGTTCCGTGTGTGGGTAGGGGACAGAGCTGGAAATGAGCCCTCTTCTTATACCTGACTGAGGCCACCTAGGTGGAATTTCCCTCTGATTTTGTATTTAAGTAAACCTTCTTAATGAAGTATGGTGTCTAGAGGTGCCCATATCATAGGTGTACCGCTCGATGAATCTTGAGAGTGAGCCCACCCATCTAACTACCCCCCGATCAGGGCAGAGAACACTGTCGGTGTTCTGGAAGTTCCTGCTGACCCCACTCAGTCCTCACTCCCCAGAGGTAATCACCATCCATATTTCCATCACCAGAGATTCATTTTGTTTATAGATGAATGTCTGTAAATGGTGTATATTACATTCTCTTCCTTTTCAAGTAATTATAAGTTAATTACATTTACACTTCCACATTAATAGCTTCCTATAGATAGCCTTATAGTAATATATAAATCATGTGGGCCTCAGTGACTAAAAATAGATTTATGGAACATACTTATGAACTAATCCTTGACAGAAAAACCATGATACAAATAAAGTAAGATTTATACTGAAGAGTTGTACATGTGGTAGAAATGAAACAGTTTTTCAGTTCCTCTGTAGAAAGGACATAAGTAGTATGTATTCTTTTGTGACTAGCTTCTTTCCTCAACTTTGTGAAAATCATCCGTGTTATTGCCTGTAGCAGAGCCGTGTTCATTTTTTTGTTGCTGAATGGTATTCCATGTTTTATTTTGCTGCACTATGTGGCATTTGGGATCTTAGTTTCCACGCCAGGGACTGAACCTGTGCCCCCTGCAGTGGAAGCACAGAGTCTTAACTACTGGACTACCAGGGAAGTCCCTCCAAGTTGTATTGCATGACCACACCACAGTTTTTACCCACTCTTCAGCAGATGGACACGAGATGTTTCCAGGTCGAGGTTATGCCTAATAGCACTGCCATGAACATTTGTGTGTGAGTCTTTTTTTTTCCTTATTTTTTTCTTTTTTAAAAAATTCTTATTTTGTGAGTCTTTGTATGCATTTTCTGCTGGGCATTTTCCAAGGAGTAGAGCAGCTGAGTCATCGGATACCCAGTATTTGATGGGAAGGATTCTGACTTGCACCTAGACTCACTCTAGATTGTTTCAGGACCACCTGCCTCTCTGTCTTTCAGAATACTCCCTGGAAGGGAAGCTGAGTTGCACCTGGTCAGTTTTTTGTAGATGTTGCCAAATAGGATACAAAGTGGCTGTTGCCATTTATACTCCCACCAGCAGGACAGGGGAGGTCTAGTTGCCAGGCTTTGGTACTTTGGCTGTTGGTTGTTTATTCCTGTAGTTACCATGTTGGTCCATGGCCATTCACTCCTCTGATACTCAGCCCTGTTTGTAATTAACCCGTCTGATAGGATATAAGTAGTTTACATGCATGATACAGTTAAAATCTATGTCTGATCATGTCACACCTCTGCTCAGAACCCTCCAGTGACTTCTTTCACCTCAAGGAGAAAGTCAAAATCAGTGGCACTGTTGACATCTGGACCAGATAGTTTTTGTTGGGCTTGGGGAAAGGGCTGTCCTTGCACCGCAGCATGTTTAGCAGCATCCTTGGCCTCTACCCACTAGATGCCCCTCCACCCTAACAGGGTCACATGTCCCCTGCAGAACAAACTTGTTCCCGACTGAAAACCACTGCTTTATTGGGATTAAAGTTCCTACGCTTTCTGTTCCCATCCTGTTTCTCCTCCCTCTTAGTCACTCCAGCCCAATGGCCTCTGCTCTTCTTGTTTCCCAGTACTTGCCTGTGCACAGACCATGCACTTGGTATTCACTCTTTCTGAAATGTTCTTCTCCCAAATATCCACATGGCATCCAACACTTGTGTATGGGTATTTGTAATTTATCTTCTGTAATGTCATCCTTTCCCATAGGATAACTTTCCATGAAGGCAAGGATTTTTGTTTTGTTCACTGCTTTGTCTTTGCCAGGACAGACCTTGGCATATAGTAGGTGTTTAATAATGTATCTATTGACTGAATAATTGTTTTGTGTCCTCTTATAAGTAGCATTGAGCAAGTAGGCCAAAGGTATAGATTTTTAAAAAAATAACTTATCCCCAATAACACATAACATTTGAACAGGGTTTTGCTTTTTGTTTTTTTGGCCAGACTTAAATTTTAGTTTACCATCCATGTGACCCTAGGAAAACCTTGTCATTTCTCCAAGTCTCAGTTTCCTCATCTGTAAAATAAGGTTAACACCCATCTCCCTTTCAGAGTTGTCATGAGACTGAATGAGCACAGCCACTGATTTGTCTCAAGGGATTCAGAAATGGAAGCCATTTCGTTATTCAGTCTGTGTCCCTAAACCATTATAGTTCCTGGTGAGATTCAGCTGTTTCTCATTACTTCAGAACTTGAAACCACAGGAAGTTAAGGGGGTATAATGATTTAATGTTTTGCTTAACATTTCTGGGGGGGAAAAACAATTGGAAAATCTTGTCTTTTTCGAAGGCCCCTGTTTCCTTTTGAGCATTTTGTTCCTAAAGGGAAGAATTCTTTCCATGTTTGCGTTGTTGAATTGAATCACATATGCCAGTCTGGCTTGTCGGGGGCAGGTGCTCTTATAGTTTTTCTTCCCTCCAAGCAGCAGTAGTTTGTGCGACCTTGAGATTCAAGTAGGTGTCTGGGTATGTGATGTGAGCCTTGACTGTTCAGTGAGTCTAGGCTTTTCCAGGACCACCTGCCTCTCTGTCTTTCAGAATCCTCCCTGGAAAAGGAGAGGGAGACCCCCAGTCCCATCGACCCCAACTGTGTGGAGGTAGACGTGAACTTCAATCCTGACCCTGCCGACCTGGTCCTGTCAAGTGTGCCCGGCGGGGAGCTCTTCAACCCTCGGAAGCACAAGTTTGCTGAGGAGGACCTGAAGCCCCAGCCCATGATCAAAAAGGCCAAGAAGGTCTTTGTCCCCGATGAGCAGAAGGTAACTTGGTACATCTGCAGTAGTGAATGTGCAGCATGGGCTCAGGGGTCAAGGGACTTTCCCCAATTTCCGTTCGATTTCTCCAGGAGCACCCACCCTCCTTGGGGACACATCGAGAAAGGCATGCATTCAGAGCTTCGGGCCACATCCCACTGCGGTTGAAAGAAAGGCATTCGGGTGGCGTTTGGCCCCAGCTTGACTCCCTACAACTTATCTTTCCATTCTGGTTCCCGGCTGTGCCCATGCTCCTACTTCCCTGGCTTCAGCCCAGCCCTTGGGCAAGAGTTCACTCGGCCACAGAAACCGGGATTGAACAAGCCCTCACTTTGAAGGACAAAAGATAGCTGTACGTTGCCATCCCAGGGATGAGCCAGCAGCCTTCAAGCTGATGGTTTTATAGATAGGAGCTGGGCTGGGGGTTGTTGTTCAGTCACTAAGTTGTGTCTGACTCATTGCAACCCCATGGACACCAGGCTTCCCTGTCCTTCACCAACTCCCGGAGTTTGCTCAAACTCAGGTCCTTTGAGTCAATGATGCCATCCAACCATCTCATCCTCTGTTGTCCCCTTCTCCTCTGCCCTCGATCTTTCCCAGCATCAGGGTCTTTTCCATTGAGTTGGCTCTTCACAACGGGATTGGGGAGGAGAGGAGGATTTTGTAGTTTTTCCTTTCCCCACTGTGAAAAATTCAGAAAAGGGACTTTTCACCTAAACTTTGGAGTCAGGCAGACCTCAGGTTCCTCATCTGTAAAATGGGAATAAACATACCTGCCTCTTGAGAGGTTTCTGAGGCTTTTAGAATAGTAACGATGAAAATGGTAAACCTTTATGGCATCCTTACTGTAAGCCAGGCATTGGTATAAGCACCTTGTACATATTAACTCTTCTAATTCTCAGGCAACTCTGTGAGGTAGTTACTGTAATTACCCCCCCGTTGCAAAGACGAGGTGGGGAGATACTGTGAGGTTAAGGAACTCACTTGGTTCCACTGCTAGAAAGTGGCAGAACCAAGATGTGAACTCTGGGGACTGGAACCAGGGTGCAGACCCTCAGCCACAGCCTGAATGAGGCAGGAGTACAGACAGTGCTGTATGTCAGAGCAGCAGAGAGAAACCACTGGTAAAAGGAAGGCCCATCCTTCCACCAGTGGTCCCACTTGGATTCTGTGGGGTCTGTGGATGATGCTCCCTGGGTGTAAGGGCGGGGCCCCTGGGAGTCCCCAGGTCCCAGCTGCACCATGTGGCTTAAAAGAGGAATCAGTATGGGTGGGGTGGAGTGCTGGCAGGAGGGGAGGGGTGTTTTCTCTCATGGGAAAGAGGAGAGACCTACCAAAAACCCTTCCCCACAGGACGAGAAGTACTGGACGAGACGCAAGAAGAATAATGTGGCAGCTAAGCGGTCCCGGGACGCCCGGCGCCTGAAGGAGAACCAGATCACCATCCGGGCGGCCTTCCTGGAGAAGGAGAACACGGCCCTGCGGACGGAGGTGGCGGAGCTGCGCAAGGAGGTGGGCAAGTGCAAGACCATCGTGTCAAAGTATGAGACCAAGTATGGGCCCTTGTAACCCGCGCCCCCGCCGGGGCGCTGCCTCACTTCAGACCTCTGCCCAGGGCCCCCGAAACCCACCCCTGCGTGGAGACTTATGACTCGTCGTGGGCGCATGGTGGCGCACCTGCCCCGGAGCCTTCACGTTCAAGCTTCATTATCACACACGACCCGTGCGGCGACTTCCCTGGGGGCCAGCCTCCTCCCTGGCAGGACTTGAGAGAATCTACGAGGCGGTGAATCAGCCTTCATCTCTGTCCTTGGCTGTCGCAGCTGGCCCAGAAGGGGACCTCTGGAGCACGGGCTCTCCTCTCCCAGGGGGCCCAGGCTTCCCTGACTCTCCCTCTTCTCCAGCCTGGGCCAGGCCAGGCCCGGCCCGTCTCTGCAGAATGAGTGGTGATGGCTGTCGCCCTTACATCTTCTCAGGCAGCTGGGTGCATTTCCAGGCAGGGTGGGTCTGTCATCCTCCCCAGAAAGTCTTAGAGAGAGAAGCCTCTGTTCCCATCTTCCTCAGAGGTAGAAAGACATGCCAGCTCCTCTGTAGCGTCCGTGTGGGCACCAGGCCATGGGGGTGTGGTCTCCATGCAGCCGGGGATGACCTTTGCATCTGGGCCTACAGCAGAAGGTCACCCCACCGCTCCTGGCTCCCTCACCCCTTTTCTCTGTGGCTCGAGGCCTGGGAGGTGGAGGCCCTGGCGAGGGGCTCTCTGTGCGTCCCACCCACTGCTGGGAGAGACTCCCAAAGCAGTGGTCTCCGCGCCCTGGTCACCGTGCTCATCTACTCTTCTCCCGGGCACTCATGGAGGCTGCCTGAGTCTCCTTTGTCCCACCAGACTGGGCCTCTGGGCCTGCTGTTTTTCTTCACCCAGTGACCAAGCTCAGATCTTGGATTTTAACAGAAAAGTCCCCTCATCCTGGAAGCTTAACTTCCTGGAGCCGGGATGCACCTTCTGCATGGTGTTCAGATAACTGGCCTCCACAGCCCGCTCCCACCCTCCCCCAGTGCTGCGGGTGGAGAGCGGGGCATGTTTCTCAAGAAGCTCCCGTTCTTTCTTGCTCTGCTTTCTCGTGCGGGCCATGCCCGAGCCCGCTCTCCCCAAAAAGCAGAAGAGGGCTTCCTGGTTCTCGCTTCAGGATCCACCCATGTGTGAGCGGCCTGGAGGGCGTCCCTGGGCAGGGCCCCTGGGTCCCACCCAGCTCATGTGGAAGAACAGACTCCTGGGACTTGGACACAGGCTAGAAACCCCTCCTTGATCCGGGTCCCAGGAGACGGCCACCTATGCAGGCCCGGCCAAGGCGTGGGTGGAGGGGTCCACCTTGCAGCTGCTCCTTCCTTTCATGGCCGGCTGGACTCATCCTTCGGTTCTGCCCAGAAGACTAGTTACGGACATCCGTGGAACCCTCTGCTCGCTGTGGTCAGCTGGGCACCTGGAGATGGGTGTATTTATTTGCTCAGGGCGGGCAGCCTGTGGTAAGGAGGGGTCAGAGGTGACAGGTACACATTTTTCACGTTCACCACTGGTTTTATTTAAAGTGGTGGCTCCGCGTCCTGGGCCTTGACCCCTAAAGACTTTTCATAACAGATGTTAAGAGCAGGGGAAGCCATCCACTGGCTGTGGACCACACCCAGGGGAGCACACGGCCCTCCAGGGACCTGCACCCCCGCCTCTCCGGGGACTTGACAGGGGTCCCTGAGGCCGAGGGTCGTCGGTGCCCCTCACCTCCTCCCCACCCCCGACTTTGACTTCGTGGTTCTATGAAAACCATGTCAACACTTTCCACTCTTGTAACCACAACAGGGCAGTTGCATCCAGCATGTCCGTGTCCTGCCCTGGGCAGCTCGCCCGCCCGGGCACACTCTCTTTGGTCTGGCCACCCACCAAGAGGGCACTTCTTATTTTGTTATTGGGAGAAGAGCCACCAGCTTAAAAGCTCTTCATTTTCTTTGGCCAGAAAGTGTATGGTTTGTGTTTTCTCGGTTTCCACCGCCCCCCTCCAAGGGATGGACATTTAGTCTCTGGGTAGCGTCCACTCTCCGACTCCAGCAGGTGGGGTGATGGCCTGCTGTCTCTTCTCTCTGTCCCACCTCCTGCCTGTCCGGGTGCCCGCCCCTTGCACTGCCCCCAACACCCCCCCCCCCCAGGCAGTGGGTGTCTGGTTCCTTCCCAAAGTGCTCACTTGGAAAGAGCGTGGCTGCTGGCCTCTTCTAGAAGAGCCCCTTTGAGTCAGGAGTCCGGCGGGGACAGGAAGGAGAGGTCTGTGGAGTTTGACATGCTGGGGAAAAGGGTGCTCAGATAAGCTTGTCTTCTTAGTCCTTGCAGGAGAGATGGTGCCTCCTCAGTTTCCATCATGGAATTGGGAGTCTCCTTGACTCCCTGCCGGGCCCTCTCTATCTTAGGGCTGACGGCCAAAGACTGAGGCTCCTGTCCTCACGTCTTTAACATCCTCTGCAAAGCATCAGAGACGAGAGATGCCAGTGTAAGTGGGTTTCCCTGGGTTTGCAGTGGGCTGGGACGGGCCATCCCTTCCTGAGCGCCCCCTTTCGCCTCAGTTGCAACCTCCGCACAGACAAATCATGAATGAGCTGGAATGTTGCAAGAATATGCATATAATAAGCGTATATCTAGACATAGAATATATATATATTTAGGGAGAGCTTTCACAGTGGCCAGCAGTCTTGTGGAGGACCTGGGTAACTCTTACCCTTGACCCAAGGCAAAGGGTTTGCCTGTCTGGAGCCTGAGGTTGGGGAAGGCACGTAGCAGTGACCCTTGACTCTGGGTAAGCGTCGCCCTGGTTGGGGGGACCTCCTGTGGCCCTGGCAGGCACGTCTGCAGTTCTCCAGGCGGAGGTGGGGTAGCAGGTGTGGGGGCCAGCTGACAAGGGCTGCTCTGTGCTGGGCAGCTCTCCATCCGGGACCCTGGGAGCAAAGGGCTCAAAGCCCCCTGGTTTTCATGGCACAGCCCCACCGCCCCAGAGCTCCTTTAACATCTGTTAATTAAGTGCAATAAATTTTTCTAGAAAATGGCAAAGATGACTTCCAGGTGGATATTGCTGTCTTACAGTGTTGGGGACGCCAGAGCACCACTTGGTTTTATTTTTCTAAGTGCATGTGATGTGACAGAGTGTGTGGGGCTCTGCGCCCTCCCCTGGGAACTGGCATTCCAGCAGGCCCCTCTCTCCTTCACCCATGCTGGGGAAGGAGGCACGGCGCAAACCCTTCTCCCCAGCCGGCGGGGGGCAGATGCGGAGCGTAGCCCACTGGCCTTATGTGCGTGTGTGCGTGCGAGTGTGCCACTGCTGGTGGGCCCAAGCGACGTGGCGGGAGGGAAGCCGGGAATGTATCCTTTTCAAACGAAATTAAATATTTTGAGACGAGAATCGCGGGGCTGTCTCTTCTGTCCTCCTTCCCACGTCAGGGCCAAGCCACCATACCCAGTCTGTGCCCGTTTCCTCACGTGTCAGGTGGAAGTAATCCCTGCCCCCTTAACCACACCGTCCAGTGAGAAGGGACACATACCGGGCCCCAGTGTTGTCCTCAGCAGTTAGAACACATGAAAGTGCAGCACAGCTGGTTGGAACGCCAGGGAACTGCTTATGAGACGTGGCCCCAGACGGGGAATCCTCAACGGCCATGTGTAAACCGTGCTTGTGGGGGGATTCTCGAGGTTTTCCTTGTTTCCTTTTGCCACATTTTCTGTCTACGCCATGAGACCGTCACAGTTAAAAGACAAGGTTAAACACAGGGTGCAGCTGTCTGCTGGGCACCGTAACTGTCGGGCCGAGCCACTCAGCATTGGCATCCCAGACCCCCTGCTCAGGACAGGCCCAGGCTCCTGGGGCGGGGGCAGAACAGGGTGTCCCACCCTTGGCCATGCCCACTGCCAACTCCACCCCTTCCCGCATCTGCACCCACTCTGCATGCTGCGTCTGCTCCATCCGTGTGTGCGTGCCTCGAGCTGGTGCTACCTGTGTGTGGCCATGGCCGTTCTCCCCTGCCTCCGACCCTGCAGGCCATTGGTGCTCCTGTGGTTTGAGGGGCCAGTAACTGTTTCGTTTCTAAGAGGATAAAACCTGCATTTGGAGTTTGGGGATGGGCTGGCAAGGTGGACTTCTTTTAAATAGCCATTTTAATAAGAAACACTGAAGCTCAGAAAAGCAAAGTGATATGCCCCCAAACCAAAGCAGCAGGGCTAAAGTTCAAGCTTCAAGCCCAGAGTAGGTCTCAACTTTTCAGATTCAGCTTCCTAGACTGTCCTTGGCCTTGGCCTCAGGGCAGTGTCACTTACTCCCATCTTTCCACCAGCTGCACCCTTGGGTCTTCCCATTTCTGATGGCTTACAGAGCCTTTCAGCTCAGCCTTCCCCTCCTCCCTGCTCCCAGGACTGAAAGCCTGGGCTGGGTGCTTTGAGGCACTATCTTATTTAAACTTCACAGCGGGAATGTTGTTCCCCACCCCCCACTCCATGCACAGATGTGGAAACCAAAGTTTAGAGAGACGTCATTCAGCAAATATTTATTAAATATCTATTTTGTGTCAGCCCTACCTCCAGCCTTCACAATCTGCTTGGAAAGACAAACATTACACAGAAAGAAAGAAGAGAATGACGGATTGTGTTAAGTGGTGTGGCTGAGAAGACTGGGGAATCTGGGAGAAACCATTTATATGGGAGGGTCAGGGAGGATCTCTTTGTGGGTGGCATTTAAGCTAAGACCAGAGGATAAAGGGATGTGACCTGCCCCCAAGGCTGCCACACAAGTTGGGCACAGAGCCAAGTCCACGGGCAGCTTCTGACCCCATCCATACACCTCAGTTCCCCGGCCAGATGTGACCCAACCAGCTGGCCAAAGGGGTAGACACAAGAAAGCAATTACAAGAAGGCCCAGGGTGCATGAAAGCCTGACACTCCAGCCTCCTGTCACTGAGGTTGGGAATAAGATGCCAAGAGGCCCAGGGAGGCAGATGTAACTCAAACAGATCCTTCGGCCCAGGGGGTCACATCTTTAGGCAAAGGCCTTGTGCAGGCCTGCCCCACCTTGAGCCGCCTTGTGGTCTCCAGGGGCTGCCTACATGGTTAGTTGACCCAGGTGGCGCTAGTGGTAAAGAATCCACCTGCCAGTGCAGGAGACAGACCTAAGATCTCTGGGCGGAGATTCGCTGGAGGAGAGCATGGCAACCCACTCCAGTATTCTTGCCTGGAGAATCCCATGGACAGAGGAGCCTGGGCCCATAGGGTTGCAAAGAGTCAGACACAACTTAGCAACTAAGTACACATGCAGCCCTGGGCACAGCTGATTGGTCAAGGAATGAACATGTGACCCAGCTGGGCCTATGAGGCCCTTCCCTGAGATTTGTGCCCTTGAGGTCTCTGGAGACTATCTGTTGTGATGGCTGTGTTTTCTACTCTGGGTACAGATGCTCTCACCCAGAGTGGAGATTGGGCCTCAAGAAGCACAGGGGCTGTGGACTTGGAATAGGTCACAGCTGAGAGATCTCTGGTGAGCATGTGGCAGGTAAGAACACAGGCTTGGGATAGTCCCAGGTTCAAGTCCGCCTCCATCACCAATTTGGGGTGTGACCTTGGGCGAGTCACTTCCCCTGTCTGGGTTTCTGTTTTTTTTATCAGAATGGGCCCCAGCCTCACAGGCAGCTCACACAGAGCTGGTGCTCCCCACGTGGCAGCTGCCATTGTGGCGATGCTGCAGAGGGTACTGACTGACAGGGACGTGAGTCCTCAGGACCTGACAGCCGTCAGCCATGGCGCAGCGGGCAGGGTGGGGGTGAGGGGGCGTCCACCGGATGGTGTGGGATGCAGCCGGGGTTCCCAGGCCCCACCCTCTGAGCTATTTCCCTCTCTGTACAGCGAGGACA